GGCGGCGGGAGACGGCACCTGTAGAAGCAGCACAGGACATCGAGCCGCTGGTCCTGGCGTCGGTGCAAGTCCAGGCTCAGGATGGCTGGGAAGATGAGCAGCACCATGGCGAAGTTAAACACCACCACCACGGCAGCCTGCAGGGACACGGGGCGCAGAGCTCAGGCCACGGGGCTCCAAGGGTTAAACCCTGCTCACCACCCTGCCGGGGAGCCAGGGTCTGCATGTCCGACATGCGTGTGAGGCCATGTCACAGCTTGGCCAGTAACGGGGCCTGGGTCTCCATGTGTGTCTGACACGCGTGTGGGGCCATGTCACACCTCGGCCAGTAACGGGGCCTGGGTCTCTGTGTGTGTCTGACACACGTGTGGGCCCATGTCACATCTCGGTCAGTAACGGGGCCTGGGTCTCTGTGTGTGTCTGACACACGTGTGGGCCCATGTCACACCTCGGTCAGTAACGGGGCCTGGGTCTGTGTGTGTGTCTGATACGCGTGTGGGCCCATGTCACACCTCGGCCAGTAACGGGGCCTGGGTCTCTGTGGGTGTCTGACACGCGTGTGGGCCCATGTCACACCTTGGCCAGTAATGGGGCCTGGGTCTCTGTGTGTATCCGACATGTGTGTGGGGCCACCTCGGTCAGTTGCGGTGCCCAGGGCTCTCTGCCAGGACTGGGAGTGGAAGTCTGTTGGCAGAGGGGCCTTCTCCCCACCCGTGCTGATGAATCCCAGTGACCCCCAGGAGCCATGGGCAGGGTGACCCCCAAGCTCCCCAGACAACTGTCTGCTAGACACGCCAGAGCCTCGCAGCCCCCCCGAGCACTGGGAGCCCCGGGTTCTAGCTCGGCTCCCCGCAAGGTACCCGAAGGCGGGGCAGTGTGTAGGGGATGAGGGCCTGGACTGGGGCAGGGCAAGGCAGATGGGCATGGGGGGTATGAGCAGGACCCGCCCAGCTGGCATCGCCTCGTCTCCTCAATACTGCCGGCTTGGCTGGGATGGGCAGACGGACTCACGCCCAGGGAGAGCTGCAGGGCGAGGGTGGACACGGCCCCCCGTGACCCTGGGGTACAATGGGCAGAGGAAGAGGCACGAAAGGCAGAGGGACTCCGGGGGGAGAGGGTTGCACCTGCAGGGAGAAGGGGCACAGGGCGAGGGCAGGGTGGGTGTTGAGGGGCCTGTACCCGCAGGGATAAGGGGCGCAGGGCGAGGGCGGGGTGGGTGTTGAGGGGCCCATACCCGCAGGGAAGAGGGGTGCAGGGCGAGAGTGGGATGAGGTGGGTGTTGGGGGGCCCGTACCCGCAGGGAGAAGGCGCACAGGGCGAGGGCGGGGTGGGTGTTGGGGGGCCCGTACCTGCAGGGAGAAGGCGCACAGGGCAAGGGCGGGGTGGGTGTTGGGGGGCCTGTACCTGCAGGGAGAAGGCGCGCAGGGCAGGGATGGGCACCAGGGCTGCCATGAAGAAGGCGATCATGTTGCTGATCGAGGTGAGGGCCACACTGGTGCCCGTGCGTCTCAGGCACTCTCCCGTCCGCTCCTGTGGGGGAAACAAACAGGACAGGTCACCCAGCGCCCCACGCCCGTCCCCACCCCCCGAGGCAGGTCACCCAGTGCCCCGCGCCCGCCCCCCGAGGCAGGTCACCCAGTGCCCCCCGCCCGCCCCCGCCCCCAAGGCAGGTCGCCCAGGCCAGGGTGGCCTCACCTTGAAGGGGACGTGCTGGCTGGTCTCGGTGAAGGCGTGAGCCAGGAGGAACATATCGTCCACCCCAATGCCCAGGGCCAGGAATGGCAGCACCTGTAGGGACAGAAACCAGCCTCCATACTGAGCTTCTGCAGCCGGTCCAGCTGCCAGCACCCCAGCGCTGCCTCTCCCTGCGCCGGAGTGTGCCCACCTCGGGGGGAGAAGCACCCGCCACAGCTCCACCCGGAGAACCCAGGATCCCATGGGAACAGGGCTCGGGATCCCACAGGCTGGGGCACAGCCCCCCTGGTCTGCCTCCCCGCAAGGGCAGTTAGCGCCCCGCACCAGGCTCAGACGCTGGGGAGAGCGCCCCCTACTGACCCCCTGTGACCAACTGGGACTGTTCTTACTGTGGTCTGTGAATGCTGACAGGGGAGTGTGGCTGGGATAGTCTGCAATGGGGGATGGGAGACTGGCCGACGGAGAATACCTGAGCATGTAACAGGAGAACCCAGGAAGGGGTTGGAGGCCAGGTGACACCTTTGCCTGGGAAACTGAACAAAGGCTGTGTGAGGGGTCGCTGAAGGAGAGTTTCGGGAGCTGGCTGGTGGAGCGGCGGGGAGGCAGACGGGGCTCTGACCTCCCAAGGGGGCTGTGGGGCCCTGGGATCCCAAGATGGACCTAACCGGGGGGAATCCTGTTGTCTGTGCCTGCAAGACCTGTCTTGGACTGTATTCCTGTCGTCTAAATAAACCTTCTGCTTTACTGGCTGGCTGAGAGTCATGGTGAATCGCAGGAAGCCGGGGGTGCAGGGCCTTGTGTCCCCGCACACTCCGTGACTCCCCCCCCCCCACGCCCTGCTCCACAGCACAGTGCCCCCTAGTGCTGCACTAGGGCATCAGGGCCAGCCCTGATGGCGAGGGCAGAGTGCCCGTGTTATTCCCGCAGGTCTCCCATACGGCTGCGGAGCAGGTGAGAAGTCGGGTCCCGGCCCCGGAGGTGCCAGCTCCAGCCCCCGCGCAGGAGGGTGAGCAAGGCACGACGGGCAGGCATTTCTCCCCATGGCCCTGCCCGGCCTTGGCATGCGGTACCTGGGTGGTGGCTGCGTTGAAGGAGATCCCCAGCAGCGAGCAGAGCCCGAGTCCTGACGCCACGGACAGGGCCACCAGCAGGACGCCGGCCAGGCCCACGGCCCCCTGGGATTTGGAGCAGTCCCAGCGCAGCATTGTCACGCAGGCGTACGCGAGCTGGAAGCAGAGCAGGGGCGGGGTTAGCGCGGGCGGGGTTAGTGCGGGCGGGCAGGGGGCGGGGGAAGGTACCTACCATCAGGAGGTAGCCCCCGGCCACGCGGATGGCGCTCACGTCCGAGAAGGACTTCAGGATGTCGCTGAGCGTGGTGGTGGAGAAGGCGTGGACACGCTGGGAGCTGTTCTGCGGGAGGCAGTCCTGTGCCAGCTGGGGAGAGACAGGGCCTCAGAGACACAGCTGGAGGGCATCACGCCCAGGGCAGCCCCTGGCCATGCCACACCCCTCCCAGGGGGCAGCCCTCCCACCATCCTCCACCCCTTGCGGTGGGCACCCCACCCCTGCTACGCCACACACCTCCCAGCAGACAGTCTGCCCCCACCACGCACCTCCAACAGGCACCCGACCCCCTGCTACGCCCCTCCCAATGGGCAGCCCTCCCTCCCCCCACCACACTCTTCCCAGCGGGCAGCCTGTGCCCTCCCCATGAGGCAAAGCGGGAGGAGGCTGCAGCCAAACCCCAGGCCAGGGGCTCTGCCGTGGTCTGGCAGCGGGCCAGGGCCGTATCTGCCTGAGCCCCTGTCGGGCCCTGCAGCCAAGGGCCCCTGCGGGAACCTGGCACTAACAGCTGGGGGAAGAGGGAGCCCTGAACCCATCCCAAGCCGGCCAGAGCTGCCTCCGGCACTGCCCCAGCCAGGCCTCAATGCCAGACGTGCTGAGCCCTCTGTGGGACTCCGACTCCCACTGCGGGGCTGAGCGCAGACACTGAGAGATCACTGGGGTCCACCCCCCCGCTCCCATTTCACCAGAGCCCCCAGAACACGGCCATGTAGCACCATGCTGCCCTTCACCAAGCACGCTCACCCCCCCCGGCATGCTCACACACTCCCGGCACGCTCAGCCCCCCGGCACGCTCACACACTCCTGGTACGCTCAGCCCCCCCGGCACGCTCACCTCCCCCTGGCACGCTCACACACTCCCGGCACGCTCAGCCGTGCACACCCACGGTGAGACATGCACACAGACGTGTGCACAGAGACCCCGCAAGTCCCACCGTGTTGCTCTGTTGATGAGTGGCCACCGCCGTCCCCCTACAGGGTGGGGATCGGCCCCCCGCTCCCAGCCCCTCCTACCTCCACAAACTCCCTCTGCCAGGCCTCCAGGATGGCAGCCGCCTTCTCCTCACTCCAGCCGATGTCCTGGATCTCGTAGTCGTCCCTGAAGTGCTCGTAGAGCTGCCGCGGGCTCATCAGCAGAAACATGCTCTGCAGGGCCTCAGCGCTGCCGGGACAGGACACACCTAAGAGCCCAGCCATGGGACCCCTAGTGCCCAACGGAGCGCCCCAGCCCGGCCCGTGTCCCCCCCCGAGCACCCCAGCCCCCAGTGTCCCCCCCTGAGCACCCAGCCCGCCCTGCGTCCCCCCCAGAGCGCCCCAGCCCACCCGCGTCCCCCCCCGAGCGCCCCAGCCCGGCCCGTGTCCCCCCTCCAAGCGCCCCAGCCCACCCCGCGTCCCCCCCGAGCGCCCCAGCCCCGCCCCCACTGTCGTCGTCCCCCCCCAGAGCGCCCCATCTGGACGGGCGGCCCTGCCTCCAGTGTCCCCTCCAGAGCACTGCAGCCCGGAAGCCCCCAAACCCCTGGGCTGGCCTAGGTGGAAACCCTGTCCCAGCGACCCCGGCCTGCTTGCTCGAAAGGAAATCCGAGAATCCCAAGCAGTTCGAGGGCAGTGGGTCGGGCGCCCAGGCGGGAGAGAACTCAAAGCGCCTTCGCTCTCCCCGCCACGTCCATTCCCCACCCCGCCGCGTGGGCTCGTCCATGGGAAAGTGACCAGCCCCACACGGGGGGAGCCTGAGGCCCAGGCCTCACCCCCCCGTGCCCACGCTTACCTCAGCAGCCTGCCCTGCGGGTCCTTCGTGGTGCCCCCCAGGATCAGCTCCTCTTGCCAGTGCATGAATTTGCGGGAGAAGCCGTGGCAGCCCCCCGTCAGCTCGGCAGGGATGTCGGGGTCCTGGGGGAAGCAGGGGGTTGGGGTGGGTGAGCCAGGCCGTGCACCTCCCAGGCTCAAAACGTTGTGAGGGGAGCTGGGCCCTCAGCCGCACGGGCGTCACCTTGGCAGGACACGGCCCGAGGCCTCCCAGCTGCTGGCTCCAGCCGCCGGGAGCTGCACCGGGCAGGCGGGAGCTGGGGCAGGGTCCAGGGCACACACACAAGACCCGAGACCGCCCGGCTGGCCCGGCTCTCCAGCTGCCGCGAGCCATCGGGCACGGCTAAAAGTAGGAACTGACTTTGCAGATTCTGCACTTTACTGTGCTGGGGGAGCCAAGCCGCTGGCTCCGGATCGGGGCTGTGGACCCGCAGGGCCCAGTGCTGTCTGCCGGGCGGCAGAGCTAAACCCTGCCAAAGCACTACCTGCCGGCGGAGGGCCCCGCCCTGCAGTGTGTGTGTGTGGGGGGGTCTCTTCGCTCTCCGGTTCCTGCGTCCTGCCAGTCTCAGGAGTCACTGGGCGCGTTGCAAAGGGGTCAACGCAGCCTCAGCAAGGGCTGGGGGACACGGCGCCCAGACAGGGATGGAGACGGAGCAAGGAGAAGCTTCGAGACTTCCCCAATTCCCTGGCAGGGTCAGAGCCGGGGCCACAGGGATGGCCTGTCTGAAATACCCAGCTGGCTCCTCCACGGCTGGCCACGGAGGACACCAGGGAGCAGCTGGTCCCGCATTTCACCCTGGCAGTGTCGCCCCCACAGAGCCTGAGAGCTGAACTCACACACACACACACACACACACACACACACACACACACACACACACACACACACACACACGACGACGACGACACACACACACACACGACGAGAGACACACACA